TTACATATTTGTGAATTATCCATCGTACGTACAGCCATATATACGTATACATATAATAAATATAGAAACATAACCAAAGAGATATCGTAGATAGGATATAAAAGCAAAAAATTTTAAATATTTCATTGAATATTCATGACATGAAAATCTTATTATATTTATTATGTTGCAAATTAATAGAATTATTATTCACAAATATTTCTGGATAAATTCATTTATTTTTGAAAATTTTTTCAAAGTAGTAAAGAAGCAAAAAATTATTTATAATTGATTCTTTTTTATTTTTATTTTTTTTTTTGTAAAATTGTATTATTTTTTATCACTATAACACTAATCATATATATATTATATAAAATTTTATCGTACAATTTATTTTATTATTTATATAATATTCATGCGGTATAAATATTAAGAATAAAATAGATAGATATTACAAAATAGGTAAGTGAATTTATTTTTAATTAAATTTAAAAAATTCAATTTAGTTTTTTAGACACAATGTTTTTAAAAGTGTTTCGAATATTGTAATGAAACGAAATATATTAAATTTATATGTGACTAATAAATTATTTATATGAGATCGTGAACTCGATGCAATAATAATGTATATGTAAGTATACATTCTTTATATAACATAAATGAAAAAAATATTTATTCCGGAAATTTCAGCAATCATAAATATTTATATTTAGATAGAATATAAATATATATAGATAAAAATTATATCGTGATATTTTTTACATTTTTATTTATATATATTTTTTTAAAAGATTTTATTTAAAATAAAAAGTAATAATATAAATTTCTGATTTTTATTTAAAAATGAGTGTCTCTCATTTTTATTTTCATTAATACATATTTATTTTAATCCAAGTTTAAGTTTTTTTTACTTATTAAAATTTATTCTAGATGTTTATTTTTATTTAAATCATTTTATCATTTACATTAGCATAGTGTTCATTTGATTTATACATACTTATGTAACTTATAATTTAAAATTATCTATTTTTAAAAATTAAAAATTAATTAAGAAGTCTGTTCATAAATTTTTCTCTAGTAATGTATTTTTTATAATAATATTACTTTTGCATTAAAAATATATATTAAAAATATTTACAAAAAATATTATTAAAATAGAAATTATATTATATTTATATTCGTATTCGAATTACATTATATTATATTTTTTTATTATGGAAATTATATTCTAAAATCGTTTTTGATATTACAATTGTTCATTTTTCTTTTTATTATGAAGTTTATTGTATTCAAAGATTATAAAAAAAAAATTTTGCAATATTTCTTTCAAATTCAAAATTTTAAATTACAAAGTCAATAAGCATTTATAATATATTCGTAAAAAGAATCGAGTGAATTTATATCCCCTCCAAATGACAATGCGACTAGTTGATTAAGTAGTAATAGTTCGGTAAGAATGTTGTACTTTGGTTTCTTAAGAAAACATTAGTAAGACAGACCTATAGCTGAAAAGAAGGGTTAAACGACGTTTTAAAATACGTAATAGGAAGTGACCGTAATTTTCACCTGTCGAGTTTCACTTCTAACCTGAATTCATCACTGGATCTGTTTGTAGCAGTATCTGTTCTTGAAACATATTTTCTTATTTAAAAGTTATAAATTTAAAATCATCAATATTAAAATTTTCGAAAATACTCTTACTATTTTCTCAAGATTGCAGAATTAAGTGCTAAGAAAATATTATATAAAGATAATAATATTTAAAAAACGAACTCTTCAGTGTATGATCAATAACCGGCATCACGTGTATTTTCAAATATAAAAAAAATATATCTTTTCTATATATTGTTATAAACATAAAATACTAAAGATAATTTTTTAGAGATTATTTCATAAAAAAATTAATATAGATTACAGAAAATATAATATACAATAAAATATTTTAAATAAATCAATCATGTGGCCAAAAAATGTTGGTATTAAGGCATTGGAAGTATACTTTCCTGCTCAATATGTTGATCAAACAGAATTAGAACAATTTGATGGTGTTTCTGCTGGAAAATATACTATTGGTTTAGGCCAATGTAAAATGGGTTTTTGTAATGACCGTGAAGATATTAACTCTTTGTGTTTAACAGTTGTACAACGATTAATGGATAGATATGATATAAAACCTAAAGATATTGGAAGATTAGAAGTTGGAACTGAAACCATAATAGACAAGAGCAAATCAGTTAAAACTGTTCTTATGCAATTATTTGAACCATATAATTGTACAGATATAGAAGGAATTGATACAACCAATGCTTGCTATGGAGGAACTGCTGCTCTTTTAAATGCTGTATCTTGGATAGAAAGCAGTGCTTGGGATGGCAGATTAGCTTTAGTTGTTGCTGGTGATAATGCTGTATATTCTAGTGGAAGTGCTAGACCAACTGGTGGTGCTGGAGCAATAGCAATGGTAATTGGACCAAATGCACCTTTAATAATTGATCGTGGAGTAAGATCATCATGTATGAAACATGTATATGACTTTTATAAGCCAAACTTAAAGTCTGACTATCCTATTGTAGATGGACAATTATCAATTCAATGTTATCTTAGTGCATTGGATACTTGTTATCAAACTTACCGTAAAAAGGTGATAGATAAATACAATCATAATATAACTTTAGATAATTTTGATTCATTTTTGTTTCATTCTCCATATTGTAAATTAGTACAAAAATCATTAGCTAGATTAGCCTTTATTGATTTTTTGAATACATCAAAAGAGGAAATATCCAAAAAATATCCAGAATTAGAAAAATTTCATGGTATTAAACTTGAAGAAACTTATCTCAATAAAGATATTGAGAAAGAATTTATAAATTTAAGTAAAAATATTTTTATGCAAAAGACACAACCTTCTTTAATGATACCAAGTCAAGTAGGAAATATGTACACTCCATCTGTATATAGTGGATTGGCTTCTTTATTAATTAGTAAATCTGTAAAAGAATTAGCAGGAACCAAAGTGGGTCTATTTTCATATGGTTCAGGATTTTGTTCCACCATGTATTCAATAACAATAACAAAAGATTATAATGAAAAATCTGATTTAGTGAAAATTACTTCTTCACTTTCCTATATCAAAGAACAACTTGATGCTCGTCAAAAGGTCTCTCCAGCTGATTATACAAAAGTGTTAGAGTTACGTGAACAGAATTGTCACATTGTACCATATACTCCCCAAAGTAACATTAAAAATTTATTTCCTGGAACCTATTATCTTGTACAAGTGGATGAGAAATATAGAAGAACTTATAATAGAGTATGAAATTTCTGTTAATCTTTAATATTTAACTTATTAATTTTAACTTAATATAGAACAACAAAAAAAATTAAGATTATTAAATCAAAAAAAAAGAAGCATAATTATAATAAAATATTTTTATTAAACATGTTTTTATAATAATAAAAAAACTGCATCAAGAATACTAAAAATTAAAAATATAAAATTTTTAAATCTATTTATAAATATTAAGATTTGATTAATATAATTTATATAACAGATATATTAATTACTTCTATAAAATTATCTTTTTGTATATTTATTTATCACAATTTTTAATATATTTATTATATATCTTTTAAATTTTTTTAGTAAAGAAAACTATAATCATTGTGCTTCATATTGAATATTAATATGGAAATAAATAACAATACCTTATGTTAATTTATAAAAAGTCCTTTAAAAAAATTATTCCTAT